GTCCAAGGCCACAGAGCAACTAAGTGCTAGATCTGGGAGGTGGAGGCAACAGCCCTACTTGAGCATCTGTGTTCCAAGCACCATGCCACATTGACTTACAATGGCAGAACTTCAATGGAAAGATGGGGTGGGGGACAGGGGAGATATGCAGAAGGAGGTGGGAGGAGGAGGCTGGCAAAATACCCAGCTCCAAAAAAAAAAAAAAAAAAAAAAAAAAATCAGTAGGTAATGCCTAAAATTGAGGGGCAGGGGAAGAGGAGAGAGGGACCAAGAGCCACCAGTACAGGCTGAGTATCCCTTATCCGAAATGCCTGGGACCAGAAGTGTTTCAGATTTGGGATTTTTTTGGATTTTGGAATATTTGCATTTTACCGGTTGAGCATTCCAAATCCAGAAATCCAAAATCCTCCAATGACTATCATGTTGGCAATTAAAAGGTTTTGGATTTTGGAGCATTTCAGATTTGGGATACTCAACCTGTATATGCATGTTACGAAAAAATCTAGAGGAACAATCAGAAAATATAGCTAAATGCCACCGCATATTTTAAAAACCATATACACACTGCTTTGATAAAAATAATTAAAAAATTTTAAGAACAAGTTACATATTTAAAAAAGAATAATAAGGTGCCATTTATTGAGCCCCCGTGTCCCTGGCACTTTGCTAAACATTTTCAATGCATGAAATTCTTCTAACAATATGGAGCCAGTCCTATCAGTATCCTTTTTTTGCTGATGAAGACACAGATCAGAGATTAAACTGCCCAGAGTTAACTGGCTAGCAAGCAGCAGAACTGTGGTCCAGTCATGTCTCATCCCCACCAGGGAAAATGAAGGCCTAGAAGTCAGCTAACAGCAATGGAGATGCTGTAGCCAGGAGCTAGTCACTTACCGCTGGCTGGAGGTGGGGTGGAGGGAGATAGTGAGTTAGGAGGGGATTTGATGCCCAGGTTGCGGGCCTAAGTAACTGAGGACATGCTGGTCCCTTTCTCTACCATAGGGTCCATGGTAAGTGAGCAGAATCCCAAGCCTCCGAGAGGGCATTCATGAACATGAACCCAGTCACAAACATGTAAAATCCCTTGGTATCTGTGGGCCACCTGTGGGTACAGGCCTTGTGGTGAGTGGAATCTCCAAGTCCAGGCTTAAGAGAGAACTGGGTGTTATTGGTGTGGGGTTCATCCACATGCAGATTGGTGAGTCAACCATTTTTCTGCTCCAGCACACCTGAGGAACTCAGTAAGCTCTGGTGACCACTGCTCACTATAGTGGTGATTTTAATGGGAGCCTTCTCTTCCCCCAGCGTATGGGTATTGTTGGGGGACGGGGCTCCCAGAATCCTGAAGTAGGAACCTGAAGCATATAAGCTATGTTTATATGGATGCCGACTATGGATGCCAACTGAGTTACATGATACAGATTAGGTCTTCAAGCAAGAGTACACAATATGCAACAAGAAGGGGTCTGCCTCAGAACCTTGGGAATCAGACATAGAAAGTAATGAGGAACCTGAAGCAAAATGCCCATGGAGGTAAGAAGGTGAGCAAGGGGGACACGGTGCAGGGAAAGCAGGGAAACTGGGCAGTTCACACCTGAGCGCCTCACGTTTGCACCAGGCCTGTCTCCCATTTACATTCTTGCCTGGCCCTTGCTGACCTCGGAGTCTGCAACTTTAAGAGGGGCTACCAGTGTACCTGAGTCTTGACAAATAAATAAGAATTTGCCAAGGGGACAAGGAAGAGAAAGGGCCCACAGAGGGAAGAACATGTGCAAAGCACACAGATATGGAAATGGTGTTCCTTGGTGTGTGCTGGGGGGTGGCATGGAGCAGATGGGATGAGGCTGGGCCCACACTGGGAAAGGTCTCCTCTGGCATGGTCTTGATGGAGGAAATGAAACTTGTCTTTAAAGAAGCTCACACAGCAGCAATGAGGAGAACAGACTAGAGTGGCCAAGCCAAGAACAGGGCAATTGGTTACAAAACTGGCTCAACAGTCCAGGCAAGATAGGATGATTGTGATTACAGTAACCACTGACATTCACTGCACACTTCCTCTGCCCATTCTAAGTATCAAGTCATGGAATTCTCCCAATAGCCCTGTGAAGTAGTCAGGACTGTGACCTCCCTAACCCCAACAGAGTGGCTCAGTCTCTTGTACAGATGTTCTCCCAGCTGGCACATGGCCAATGCCCTAATTTAAGTCCAGGGCAGAATGGTTCTTCAGGGCCCAACACATCTGGGCCATTAGGGAAGAACACCAGTACACGAATGAGGTGTTTAGGACTGGAGGAGGGACAGATACTGAGTACTGCAGGGAACTAGGTCCAAATCATGGGTTGGCGGTATGGGCCTGGAGGTTACACTACCCAGTGAAGTTGAGCTGTGGGAGAGGAGGTGAGCACTAATGGGAAACACAGGGGCCAGGATATAGCTCTGAAAGACCCACGTTTACCAAATGAGCAGGAGGAGAGGCCAGGAGACAACAGCGAGGAAGCAGTCACTAGGGAAGGCAGAGAAGTTTCATTCCAAGATTCAGGGACATGTCGTACAGTAAGTGATGTCAGCTCCTCCCCCGATCTCCAGTACCACTGCCCCACCCGTGGCCTGGTCCCTGCTGCCTCCCCAGCCTCCCTGACCACCCCAGCCTTTTGAGCACTCCTCCAACCTGCCTGCCCTTCTGCCTCACAATCCCTGTTGTCCCCTATGCCTGTTCCAGCTCTCCTCTAGCCACCGCCCCTCCCCACTGCCACCTAATTTACTTCCACTTTTCACAAACTTTTTTTTTTAATTTCTTACTGAAGAAGCTTCAATATTTAAACTTCAGTGCTTTGCAACTTCACTGGTTTCGGTAGGAATCAGTTAACCCCATAGGCCTAGGTCAGGCCCCCATCACATGCTTTCCCAGCATTCCACATTTCTCCTTTGTAGCACAAAAAAGGGTTGAATAAATCATTTCCTGTACACTAGTCACAGAATATGTCTTTCTCCTCCTTGTAGGTAAAGTTCATGAGGGCAGGAACTGAGTTTGTCTAACCCAGGGATCAGCTAACTTGCTCTGAAAAATGCCAGAGAGTAAATATTTTTCGGTTTGTGGGCCATAGGGTCTTAGTTTCAACTATTTAACTCACTCCTCATAGCCCCAAAGCAGTGAAGACAAATATGTAAATAAATGGGTGTGGCTTATTTACAAAAATAGGAGGTAGGCCAAAGAACCATAGTTTGCAGACCTTTGGGCTACATCACTAGCACCCAGTCTAGCTCCTGGCACATAGTAGATATTCTGTGAATAAATAAAGCCACAAAAAAAAAGTCATTGGCTTTGGCTATTAGATGGGAGCTGGTACTAAGGAAACGTGGTATTAGTGGCATGGTGGAGTGGAACAGAAATGACAGAGGGCTGAAGAGTGGGTAGCAGGGGAGGAAGTGGTAACTTTCAGGAGTTCCAGTATTTGAGTGGCAGGTTGGGGAATGGTGCTCTTGTAGTGGGGTGGGTGGATTAGGAACATGTTTGTAGGTTAGGACAAGAAAATAGGGCTGGGGAAGGAAGGGGAAAACTGATGAAGAGGTGGGGCTCCAGAGCCCAGGGGTGTGTGGGGGGTTGGTCATGTAGGAGAAAGCCACCTTCTGAGGTAGAGGAAAAAGAAACAAGGAAAGGTAGAAGAAGAAAATGAGAAAGCCTTGTATCTTTATTTCCTATAAAATGTGAGCCAAGACCCCTAGTGAAGAGAGTGGATTAAAGGAGGCTCAGGAACACAAGCATCTGGCAGACTGGGAGCCACGGCCAGGGCCACGGGGCTCACCAACATTGATAAAACAACATCCTTCATTTTTCTGTCTCATTTGAGATAACACTTCCAGCCAAAGGTTGTGTCTGGGTAACTTGTGGATTCTGGATTTTCAGCTCTGACTCAGTGTGAATTATGTCACTCAATGAATCACTAGCACTGTTTGCTGTCACTTCCTATCACCACTTTCCCATGCAGGTAGCAACAGGCAGGCCCTGAGGAGGGTGAGGTCACATTTTAAACATGGACATACCCAGTTTTTTCTTGAAGAATGTTGAAAAGCATTTTAATTGCAGAAATACTTATTGGTGAATTTCATCCCCATGCCTTCAAATGTGTAGGAAACCCACAGAGTTTAAGAAAGTAGATAAAAAATATTGAGCACATAAACTGAAAACAGAAGCTTATAACTTCTCACGGAATAATCTTATGGCAGTTTCCCTTGTGGGCTGTAAAATATTTCTCTGTTAAGAATGATCTGCACACAGGACAAAGGCGTATTTTTATCTTAAGACGGATAATTCAGAATTTTTCTTTAAATGAAGGAAATCATTTGATTGGGGGTTTGTCAGTAAAAATAAAGCACAGCAGCTATTTAGTTTTACAAGCCTAACAGTATTAAAACCTATAAAACCCAACTTTTCACATAGAGAAAGTATTAGTACTGTGACTTTTAAATACTCTGAAGTTTCCTCACAGAGTCAAAAAGATACAATCAACTGCACTTATCCAAGAACCAGATCCGAAAAAACCTTACATTTCAACATTAATTTATCAGTTAATTAAGTATAGGAATGTGTAAGAAGGGTTTGGGCCCCATCCTACTACTTTTCAGGAAGGACTTAAATCATCTAAATACCTTTTAGCTGACACACCTGAAAGGATAGTACCAGAATCTGTTTTCATTTGCCTTCTTTAAAGGTGCAACTGCTGTTGATATTTATAGACTGAAGCTTCTGTGTCTAGTCTAATAATATTTACAACTTTAATTCACATTTTCATTTTGAAGTTTTCACTCCCCACAAATCTTAAGATAATTTTCCTAAAATACACCAATCCACACTGTATTTTTTCAAGCCCTTCCAGAGGAATCAGCGACTCAGAACATGCTAACTGTGTAAAATGGCAGGGCCTACAGCAGCAACACAGATTTTGTTTGGAAGGACTTTCAGTGCATCTTTGGATATATATTAAATAAACTTAATCTCTTACCCTATTGTTGGGTTGATGTTTGGATCAAAACTGTCTTCCACAAACCGCCATACAATACTCGATTTTCCTACACCTGTATCCTGAAATAGAATGAGATGTGTGACTGAGAAAAAGTTTACCTGCTTACAGACATGGAAAATTACTCCATAGCGTAAGTTCAGGATTTTTTTTTTTTTTGAGATAGGGTCTTGCTCTGTTGCCCAGGCTACAGTGTAGTGGTGTGATCATAGCTTACTGCAGCCTCCAACTCCTGGGCTCAAGCAATCCTCCTGCCTCAGCCTCCCAAGTAGCTGGGATTACACATGCACATGGCCATGACCGGCTAATTTTTCTACTAATATATTTTGTAGAGACAGGGGCCTTGCTCTTGCTCAGGCTGGTCTCGAACTCCTGGCCTCAAGCAGTCCTCCTACATTGGCCTCCCAAAGTTCTAGGATTATAGGCATGAATGACTGCACCTGGCCAAGTTCAGGATTTTTATAAAAACAATCCTAGATGTGTAAATTGTATAAGCTGAGGGACACAAAAGACGTTTTCAAAAAAATTCAGCAATTAGAAGATTTCAAACGTGTTATAAAGAGAGATTTTGCACTTTTTAAGAGACATTAGGACCTTCTGAAAGACCCAAAGTTTCTGTTTCGTGTGAAAAGTGACAAGCCCATTTGCTTTTGAACACATACTAGTAAACTGTGAACTCCTGAATTACTTCCTGAGTTATCACCAAATGAATCCTAGCGCCACCCTATTTGGGGGCAAAAAAATATTATTTTCCAATAATTTTTCGATCTTTAAGGAACAAACTCAGAAAAAAGAGCATCAACCTCAGAAAGGAGGCTTTCAAATGGTCAAGCTGCTCTGACAAGACAGGAAGCTGAACTAGTCTTTGAGGTTTCCTATTTGAACACCCTCTTTTCCTCCATAGGAAGTTACTTTACTCTTCTAGAAGTGTCACGGGTATCCCACAAGTTCAAAAACATTGAAGAGACAAAAAGAAAGATAAGGCTGCTTGTAAAACCTAAAGACCTGTTACTGGTTTTACTTTGGGAGACTTGGTCAACTCCCAATTAGTACTTTAGTAAGTTGGGAGAAAACTATTTTAAGAGCTGCTCTCAACCTAGATGCAATGGAGAGGCAGAGGGGGCTGTCTGCTCTTTGGGGGGCGGGAAGAGTCCAAGGGCTCCAGGAAGGGGAAGGAGGAGGGTCCCAGGACCTTCAGGAGGGTGCAGCAAGGTGGGCGGGACGGCCCTGGGGCTGAGGAGAGAATCCACGGGGCGGACAGGCGGTGTCTCGGACGAAGGCGGGGGGGGAAAGAGTGGAGGGGATGTGGGGGCGCTGGGGCCCCTGCCCGCCCGGCCTCCCCCGGCTCTCCCGGCCGGACCCAGCGCCACTCACCCCAAGCAGACACACTTTGAGTTCCCTCAGCGCCATGGCCCGGGAGCCAGGGCGCGGGCCCGCCGCCGCCCTAAGTTGAGGAGGGAGAGGCCGGGCCCAACACAAGCATTCCCCGGCGGCGCTGCCGCCACACGGCCTAGCCCCGGCCGCGAGGCGCCCAGAGGCCGCGGCCGCCCGTCCTCCGGCCCTCAGCTCGGCCGGTCCACCGCCAGCTACCCAGGACCCGCCTCAGTAGCCTGGACGCCGCCGCGGCCTTCCGGGCGCCGCCGTCGCCGCCATCTTGGGACGCCAACCGGGTCACCTGACCTCCCCGCCCACCTCGGCAGCCACCTTCGCCGCGAGGGCGGGGCGGGCCGGCGCGGGCCGTGGGCGGGGCCATAAACCAGTGGTCCCGCCCCCTCCCGGGGGCCCCGCCCCCACCCCGCCCCCACCCCGCCCCCAGACCCATCCCAAGATGGCGGGTGAGTGGGGCCGGATCCGGGGGCGCCCGAGTGGGACCCCTCCCCCTCGCCCCGTGGCCACCCCGCGAGGCTGGGGGGACCCCGCCCGCCGCAGCCCCCTAGTAACTCCTGTGTGTCTCTTGGTTTTCAGAGATCCCCCTCTACTTTGTGGACTTGCAGGATGACTTAGACGATTGTAAGTAACAGTTGGGGCGTCCCCGCCCCTTCCTGGGTTCTCTCACAGAACTCCCAGTACATGAAGCGCGGGGGGAGCTACAGGCCAGGCCCTCCATGCTGGGACCAGAACCGCGGGACCCCCAACTGCCCGATCCACTTTGGCGCTCCCTTCTCACTGGGCGTGGCGGGCTGACGGGAGGAGCACTCCCGGCCGGGGCAAGACTTCTGTAGTTGTTGGGAAACTTTCCTGACTTCCTGTCACTTTCTCTCCCTCCTCCTCCTGCTCTGCCAGCGCCCCGGGAGGGCTGGGAGTGGGGAGTCCTTGTCCCCGTGGGCTCGGGACGCCGGGCGGGGGGCGGCCCGGCTCTGCGCGCCTGTCCCGGCCGCACGCCCGGCCCCGTCGCCCACCCGCGGAGCCCACTGGCCCGCGTTGCTCAGGTGGGTCTCTTTCACTTGATCCATTCTGCCTTCTCTTTGTAATCATCTAAAGGGCTGCTAGCTGGGGTACATGTCACTGTGGAACTCCAAGTTCGCATTTGTGGTGAGCGAAGCATGTCCTTTCCATTCAACGGGCATGTCTTGAGCACCTCCTTGCTCTGGGCCACGTTATGTGTTGGGCTCTGGACCCACGGGTGAGTGGCCACCCCTCTCAAGGAGCTCACGGGCCGGAGGTGGAGGTGGCAGACTAAACAAAGTTACCAAACTCGGATGCGTGCTGGTGAAGAAGCCCTGTACAAACCATCCAAACGGCTAACATAATTGGGGGCTTACTATGTACCAGTCATGTGCAGTACTTTCTCTCCCCTTCCCCTTCCACATCTGCAAGTTTCCTAATAAGAGTTGGTGTTTACTGAAAACTTAGCATAGACCACGCAGTGTTAAACCCTTTGCTAACATTAACTTTTTTTTAGAAGGGGACAGTTTTATTAAAGTAGCAGGACACTTGAAGGAGCAATTCAAGAGCTCCGTTTCTGGAGTCAGATGGCCAGGGAGTGAAACCCTGTGCTGCTGTTGACTAGCAGTGTGATCCTGGGCAAGTCACTGTGCCATGCTAAGACCTCATCTGTAGAACGGGCATTATAGTGGCCCATCTCAAAAGGCTTTTGTGAGGGTTAAATGAATAAAGGGTTTAGCACGAAGCCTTGTGTGTCATAAACACCCGGTGAATCTTGGCTACTGTTATTATTGTTATCAGTACCCTCTTTATTAACATCTATTTAACACTGCTGAGCCAGGTACAGTGTAGAACCAGGTTTACAGAGCTGAACATTCCATTTCCGTTGATAAACAATGTTGATCTGCTGTGACGTGCCTCTCATTTATAGATTTGATATTTGGTCTGGCTGGAAAAGGTGATTTTTTTTTTTTAGCCATTAGCTTTGTCTATTCACCCGGAACTCCATGGCTTAAACCAAGAGCAGTTTATGTCTTATAAAGCTGTGGGTGGTGCTTCTGCTTCACGTGGTCTCCAGTGAGAAGGACCATAATAGCTTTACTCACACAGGTGACACTGGTGCTGGCTGCTGGCTGGGAGAGCTGCTGGGACTGTTGGTCAAGGCCCCAGTTCTCTTCCAGGTACCTTTTCTGCTTGGCTAGGTCAGTCTTCTCACAGTATGGTGGCCACAGGGTAGTGGAATCTCTTTTCTGGTGGCTAGTTTCCTTCAGTCATTTATTGTGTATATACATGTGTAAAAGTAGGAGATTATATAGGGAAAAATTATGATTTTACTTTGTCCCTATTTGAACAAATATTAGATGTTTGAGACTTGTAATAAAAAGTGGGTAGGCTGGGTGTGGTGGCTCACGCCTGTAATCCCTGCAATTTGGGAGGCTGAGGCAGGAGGATTGCTTGAGTCCAGAAGTTCAAGACTAGCCTGGTCAACATAGCGAAATCCTGTCTCTAAAAATAGTAGCCAAGTGTGGTGGTGTGCCCTTGGAGTCCCAGCTACTTGGGAGGCTGAGGCAGGAGAATTGCTTGAGTCCACGAGTTCAAGGCTACAGTGAGCTATATTACACCACTGTACCCCAGCCTGGGTGGCAGAGCAAGACCGTGTCTCTAAAAAAAATAAAAATGGCTTAAATATTCTTTAGCAGACAGCTGAAGTCTTGCCCTGGTAAGGAAGGATACCACCATTATGGCTCTGAACATAACCACACCTTGGGTAGGACAACTCCAGGAGCCTCCTGGGGGCTTCATTTTTGGGCAGGAATGGGAGCTGTGGGCTGCTGTGTCTTATGACTTTATAATGTAGTTAATCTAATGACTGTAATAGAAGGGCCTGTCTCCTCCTTTCCCCAGTTTATACTGCCCTGGGTCCTACCCTCCTTTGCCCCCCACCTCACTGTGGTCATATTAGGAGGCATTATCACGCCATGATTGACAGCAAGAATCTTGAAGTTCTATCACCTACATCCTGGCTCTTTCACACCTGAAGTTGTGTTAGCTTGGGTGATCACTCACCCATTCTGTTCAATTTCTTTGTCTGGAGAATAGCATCAGAAGAGGAGCTGCTTCACAGGACTGGTGTGAGGGTTAGTACACAGAAAACATTTTAGCCCAGTGCCTGGCAAAGTGAGTACTGTATTCAGTTTTTTTATTATCATCATCATCATTACTGGGTTTTCACATAAGATCTGATTCAGTGTTAACAGCTGCTACTCTGTGAGGTAGGTAGGATTGTTTCTACTTTACAAATTATAAAACTGAGAATCAGGTTGAGTAAGTTACCTAGTGTGACAAAGCTCATGAATGGTAGAATTAGCAGTCAAAGGCTGTTCTGACTCTTGTTCTTTTTGTTCCACCATGCAGATCGACCTCTCAAATATTCCCTACCCGGTGATTGGGGCATGGATGTCGGTTTGGGCGGTACTGTGTCTGTTGTCCTCCTTGAGCATTTTTGTGTAAATGATGCGATGCCTCTCCATTTAGACAGCAGGTCCCTTTGGACAGGGACATAGGTCATCCTTTTTATAACCCAATGTTCTGCATGATCTAGGTGCTCAATTAAGATGATTATTGTTACCAATAATAGATTATGAGGCTCTTGTCTGATTTACTTTGTGATTCTTGATTGTGTTTGGCTAATTTCAAAAAAGCCATGATGAATGGATGTCTTGGTTTTTAAATCGTTCAGAGTCTTCAGGCCATCACAGCACAGAAGAGATTTGATTTTAGAGAATTGGCTTGCTGAAGCGATCTAAATTCCGTCTCTTGAGAGCAGAAAATGTGTGGGATAGCCTGGCATATTGGTTTTCATGTTGAATGGCAGTGGAAGGTAAAGCTATATGAGTCTATGCCTAAGGGTTCAAAGGCCTATGAATGCCTGGGTTTGCTTATAGCCTGTGGGGGCTGAAAAGGTATTATACTGTTGGTAAGGTTTGCCTGGACAATTAGAATTTAAATGTATGTCAGTGATGAGTTGAAAAAAAATGAGGGGAATCTTGCAGATATTAAGAGACCTATCAACAAAATACAGTATGTGGTCATATTTGGATCCTTAGTTGAACAAACCAGCTATAAAAAGATGTTCTAGAGACAGTGGGGGAAAATTGAACTTGGACTGGGTATAGGAGATAATATTAAGAATTATTATTAATTTTGTTGGATGCGGTAATAGTGTCATGGTTTTGTTCAAAGGAAAAAGGCCTTATCTAACAGAAACAAACAAGCATTTATGAGTGAAATGATTTGATGTGTGAAGTCTGCTTTCAAACACTTCAGCAAAAAGTAAACAAAAGTCGAGAGGAGGGATGGATGGAAAAATAAACGGCAGAATGTTGATACTTGACGGATCTGGTTGCTGGAGACTACTCTATTTTTGTGTGTGTTTGAAAATTTCCACAGTAAAAGGTTTAAAAAAATGAGATGAAAGTGTCATATATGATCAAACATCTGCAGGAAGAGTTGGAAGGCTGGATTTCAATTCTGAAGTCACTGCAAAGTTATCGTAAGGTGCATTTAGCTTCAAAAGACTTACTTGTGAAATACATTAGTATTTGGGGGACAATGTATTTCTTTTCAAGTGTTTAGTTTTCAAGAGGTATCCATGAAAAAACTTGGAAGAGGGCATGCTTTTATTTATGAGAAAAGCTAGGTGCCAACAAATGATACCTGGACTTTTGGTGAAAATAGGATTAGCTAAGCCAGGAAATATATATAGACTCTTTGAATCTTACTGTTAGAAGGAACAGTGTATGTTCAACCTTGAATAAAAGACATCTTCCAGAGCAGAAAGCATTCCATTTCACCTGCCCACTTTGTTCTACATTTGCAAAATTGTTTTTTTCAAGGACCACAACCAACCTGTGTATTCCCAAAGCAGAGAAACTATTAGTTTGAGCCATAAACCAAACATTGAACTTTTCCTCTGCACTGTAATATAAACTTGAATCAAAGATTGTCAACTATTTTTTATGAAAATCTCCCTGTCAAGTGAAACCATTCTAACAGGAATATTCTAATGCTTGGGAAATAGAACAAAATCCAGACATCAAACTATTCTCTGAATCCAAGATGGGTAATTTTTTTTCTGTGAAAGATCAGATAATGAATATTTTAGGCTTTGCTGGTTAAAAGGTCTCTGATGCAACCCCTCATCTCTGCCAGGGTAGCCTGAAAACAGCCATAAACAACACAAATGAATGGGCATGGCTGTGTCCTGATAAAACTTTTTTTACAAACACAGGCGGTGGGCTGAATTTAGCCCACAGGAGGTGGTTTACTGACTCCTTCTCTAAATCAAACTTGTTTTTATTCCATTAGAGCCCCTTAGTATGTCGATTAGCTGAGCCAACTTGCTAGTGTCTTTCCCACTAGGTTTAGTTAGAAGAGCTGAGCTTTTTGCTAGGACAACCTCTGCTTTGTTTAATAACCCTTGACAAGTCGCTCAAACTTCATGTCTCATTTTTCGTGTTGGTGTGTTGGGGATAAAAACATGTACCTGTTTCCTCCCAGCGGGATGAGAATGGCAAAGAACAAAGGAGTCTGAGTGGTGGAAGCAGAATCAAATTTGTTTCCCT